CATTAATATCACTACCACATTTGTTTTGCATGTTTTGTGTTTGTGTATTGACATTTTTATGACAACTTGGAATCTGGACCAAAATGAAATATGAGTGTGGTGTAACTTATGACAGGAAAAGCTGTCAGGTGATGGTTATCAATCAAATCAAGGTTAACTGAATTCTAAAATACGGGCATCTGGGAGGGACGCGAACAACGCTTGCAAGGAACAATTCAATTAGTTGTTTAGACAGACGTAAAACGTAGGCGTGTTGCATGGAAACTGTGGCAAAATGGGACGATTTTCCACAAGCTCTAAGCATACCCTTGGCGTTGTCGATGTGAGCGCCTCCGTGTGCTGGAGGTATGATGTCGATGTATGAATTATCGCTTGGACCGTCATCATATCGTAAAGGACCACTTTTTCACGCCATCTCCCCTCCACGTCTTCGTAAAAGAGGGAAAGAGCTACGTATAAACGAGATCCCTGCGGCCTCGCCGGTAACTGGGATGGGTGCTGATTTCAGCGTGCTCGCACCAGTCCTCTTCTGACGGCTCTCCTCATGATTCGTAGGAAACGGTGGCCTCTGCTCAGACGGGCTCGGAGGAGGGAAGTGAGACCATTGCCGACGGGGAGGAAGAAGCTGGTGAGGAGGGGGACGAAGCAAACCCTGCCCGCCTCTCAGAAGACTAGCCAGATCACAGCGGGTCAGACTGACAGCACCCACGACCGAGACGATCGGGAAGGTGACGAAGATGAAGAGGATGACGAGGAATATTCGGATGAAGAGATCATGGACATCGACCTCAATTTTGAAGACATGGAGCTGGAGTTCCAGGGGGTTCGTAAATCATGTGCTTTGATTGCGTGAATGTGATGAGCATTGATTGTCACAATTGATGACAGTCAACTGACATTTGGGGAAGAGGCAGACCAGGCAAGCCTAGAATTGTTAAGTTGACTCGTTGAATGCAAGAAGGCAAGCATTTTAATTTAAAGGGGATGCCACACTTCTGGGTGGGCTGAATTTCCCATGAGGCTTAGTTTGTTATTTTTGGTGTGATTTATGTGGCCACCACCTGCTTATGTGTCATTGCCCTTTAAGAAAGCGGCATTTACGTTTCACTGGCTTTTTAAAGGAGGTGAGCTTGAATTTTCCAACAAATGTTCTGTCGCAAAGTCATTACCTGCGAATCTTCGCACCAACCGGATTGCTGTATTTTCCGGTGGTGTGGCCAGACCCTTGCACGCATCACTCCGGCATGACTCGTGTGCCCCCCTCCCCTCCCCATCCCCAACCGGTCCTCGGTGCCGCCCACCGACAGGCCCCCTCCCTGTGCGCCAGGTGCTGGAGGAGCTATCGCAGGACCCGACACTGGCCCGCTTCCGCATGGAGTACGCCAAGCTGCACACGGCGCTGCAGCGCTCACACCACAACGAGCGTCGCCTCATGGACAAATGTCGCGAGCTGCAGGCCGAGATCGCCTCGCACTCGGCCGAGGTGGCCACCGCGCTCAAGCTCGCCTCCGAGGACAAGCAGACCATCGATGCCCTCAAGAGGGTAAGAGGCCAGGCCCCAACGCCACGGATTTGGGGTGGGAATGTCATAAACAGCGCCGTCGGTGCGCTTTGAGGTGGTGGCAGCGTAACCAGAAACGCGGCCAGTAAAGTTGATTTACTTTTGACGATGTGGATGGTTCACGTGTACAATTAGTTCTTTCTCAGAAAGATGCAACGTCTTGCCCTCTTGCATCATCGTAGGGCAGCTGCTCCCAAACGCGCGTTATTCGTGCTGGAGGTATTGCTTACGGCGACACTGAGCACACATTGTGCCGTAAGACGAGGGGGACTTTGCAACTGCGGTCGCTTGCATGGGCGTGAAAGAAGCCGGAATCCGGGGGAGCCATGGTCGTGTTCGCCTCCGATTAAGCTAAGCCCCATAGGGATGCTCAAGAGGACCTGCCATTAAAAGGGGATTTCTCCATGACCTGTTTAAGATCTTAAGCCCTTGGCTTCTTGAAGGAACTGTGGTCAGTGGTGGTCACTTGCAACCAATGCGTCAGTACAACGTTGCTCTCGCTACCGACTCGGCGGGCTGGATTACCAAGGTTTGTGGATGATAGCGTGGCATAGTACAGCGTAGCGCGAACTGTTATGACGGGAGATGTTGCCTTTCTGCTCGAATGGTTCCGTTTATCCTGTGTAATAGAAACGCATGCCATAATGGGCTGCTCCATTCATCGCTGAGCTTATTTCATATTTAACCCGAACATTTCGTGTAAACAAAAGCCTATCGCCTCGTCAGTTTGCTTACACCACTTTGCCGAAAGCCTGCGGTCGCGCTATGAAGCAATGACGTGAAGTCTACCGGGACGAGTAGATGGCAGTCGTAGCTTATGCGACATGTCAAAACTTTGCTAACCCGGACCACGCCCCTCAACAGGCATGTTTTTGCTCTCAGATCCCTTCGCCACTCGCAAGTATTACCAACAGCTAACCTGAACCCCCAGGAGGTAGAAAAGGCGTGGAAGATGGTGGATCTCGCCCACGAGCGCGAGCAGGAGTCCAAGGAGACGATGGAGGCGCTGCAGACCGAGATCACCCGGCTGCACGAGGTGGCCGGCCAGGGGGACGAGGCGGCCGCCGGCAAACAGGACGCGTGAGAACCCCTCGTGGTCACCACTGTGCTCTGTAGCTGTCACTTTGGTGGTAGTCTCTCTCCCCTCCCGTTGCCTGCCTGTACACAGATAGTTTGGAGTTTATCCCGTAAAGCGCAAAAGCGCAGTAACTCACACTAGCAACAGTCCCTTAACAGTAACTCACTCATTAACAGTAACAGTCCCTTTCTGATAAAGTGAAAATATTTGACAACATAGAGATGCGTAATGAGAGGTAAGCACGGTGTTAACTCCTTCTCAGACGCCTCGTGGTTTTGTTACTCATCTTATACGCCATGGTCACGCTTGTGACGAACGCTCCGTCCGTCGAAGTGCCGCATCTGACTGGTTTACTCTCCGTTAATGCTACACGTATGGCGGATATCCTCTCCGTCGCAGTGACGCATTAGGCTGACTTGCTCTTCGTCAGTGGCACGTGTGTGACGGACACCTCCGTCACAGTGGCGTGCCAACTTACTCTCCATCAGTGGCACGTGTGTGGCGGACACCTCTGTCACAGTGGTGTGTCGAATTACTCTCCATCAATGACACGTGTGTGACGAACATCTTCTCCATCGCAGTGGCCTGTTGGCTTGCCCTCTGTCAGTGGCACGTGTGTGACGGACACCTCCGCCACAGTGGAGTGGTGACTATCTTTCCATCAGTGACACGTGTGTGACGGACACCTTCTCTGTCACAATGGAGTGGTGACTATCTCTCCATCAGTGACAAGTGTGTGACGGACACCTTTTCCGTCACAGCGGCGTGGTGACTTGCTCTCCATCAGTGACACGTGTGTGACGGACACCTTCTCCGTCACAGCGGCGTGGAGACTTACTCTCCACCAGTACACGTGTGTGACGGACACCTTCTCCGTCCCAGTGCCGTGTTGGCTTACTCTCCATTTTTGACATGTGTGTGACGGACGCTGCCCGCGTCTGCCAGGGTAGCGGAGCTGATCAGCGCCCGGGACGACCTGCTGAAGGAGCGGGACGGCCTGCTGCAGGACGTTACCCAGCTGAGAACGCAGCTGGACGAGGCCTCGGCCAAACAGGAGGCCGTCGAGAAACTCCATCAGGAGGCTGAGGCCAAGTTGGAAGCCATGACCCAGGAGATGCAGGTTGGGCATGGCCGTTGGCCGCGAAATGACGCCGCTGCCACTAGGGCATGGTACACCATTAGGACACCGTGTTGTACATTGATTTGCTATTGGGGACTGCAGTGTAGTGTGCAGGCGTTGTTATGATGTGTTTTATGCTGGCTTGCAACGAATATTTATTGCCTATAGTTCTGCACACCCTTAGGCGATCTTGCTCCGTGAAATTATATGCAATCAGTTACCGTTACCGTGCTTTTATCAAAACGTTTGTTTGCGTATAGATAGATGGCTTTTTAGCACTAAAAGAAGTTGACCTGTCTGCTGCTGAAGACTTATGAACTTGTAGATCAGTGAAGATCAGAAAAAGTCTACCTGGGGGCACGATTTCTGGGCGCTCGATGTCATCAGATGGGTAGAGAGGGAAGAGTAAAGGGAAACAAGGAAGGCGTCGGGCTTCCGCATGCCTGCTGCCGCCGGCGCTGGACTGGCGGCTCAAAACTTTGCCACTAGTTTGGCGCCGGCGGCGCCCTTCTTATAGGGAAGCACCGTTCAATGGTTAGCATCGTCATTGATACTGCCATTGACAACTGGCCCGCGCTGCCTTGCACCATTTAACTGCGCGCCACCTGTTGGTACTTCACCCAGCCACCACGTCGCCGGCAGATGGCACTGCCGGCGCCACATTGGCGGGGACATAATTGAACCGCCAGTCCAGCGCCTGCAGTAGGTGGTTACGGTAGTGCATCACGTGCTTTTTCCTTTCCTTTTCTTCTCTCTGTGCCCACATGCTGATGGCGAACACCGAAAATTTGCGCCCCATAACTAGACTTCTTCTGATCTTTATTCATCCGCCAGCCGTCATGTTTTCAGCAGCAAATAGGTTAGCTTATTTAGGGCTCGAAGTTTATCTAGCTACTCATAAGCATAATTACCTACATCAATGTGGTGGCGCCAAAACTTCAACACGCTTCTTTCCTCAACCAAATTGATAAGGATTTTTGGCCGCAGGAAGTATTGGCACGCCATAAATTTTCGTTCTCAAGTTTCAGAACCAGGGAAGGTGGTCTATGCCACGGGTGTGTTTTCAGGGTTGGCTCGCAAGTGAGAAGACGCCAGCGAACAGTGTGCACCTTAACCTCGTTAACAGTGCATTCCTGTTTATGCCACAGGTTCAACGGGGTGATATGCAACGCGAGATCAGACGAAAAGATCGTGCAGAGCGAGATCTTAGGAACGCCAAGTCCGATATAGACGCAAAAGAGGCTGAGATGAAGTGCGTTATTTTCAGCAGCAGCATTCAAATACCTCCATTTTATCGTATTTTGATCTCCGGGATTAATGGCACTGGCGAATATGGATGTTGTCCTTGTGACTTTTTGGCCTTGCAACGGAGCCTTTTACGTTGTCCGCGTCAACTGAAAATGTGGACTTAAGAATAATAAGCATTGTGGGACAGACTGACGGTTTTCCGCGGGCTCATATCTCATCACTCCGATTGGATGATTACAGGATTGTACAGGGCCAACTTGAGCAGTACCAGGAGCAGTTGAGCAGATCTGAAGTGGTTCTGAAGGAGCAAAAGGTGGGTGCCTTGCCTATCGTTCATCTCGGTATCCGCACAAGTTACCGAAATGAATCTCGCCGAATATCTTTGCCGCATGCATTTCATCCAACGTGAATTCGTCGGAGATAGAATATTTATCTGTATCATGTATTTATGGTGTTACAGTGGCACTACCCAATGCTATTACTAGGCCAGATGGCTCTGAGGCTTTACTAGAATATGATTGGAAATATGCCCCAAAGGTGGGACATTCCCTTTAAAAGGCTGTGCCCGTCCCAAAACCCCTGCCAAGGCTCTGCCCTGCGCCAGGGGATGTGTCCAGAGCGAAGGTATCAGAACCAAAGTTGCATGCTCGACCCAGCTCCATTTCCAGTCGTTGCTTACCCCCACCAGGCGCTTATTCAGCCCTGTTCACTTCCACTGTGAGTGGCGCGTTCTTGTCCAGTCCTGCCAAGGAGGCGAAGTCGGTCTTGCGGCCTGTAATATCGCCTGATTCTTGTCACCTACCACCTACTACCTATACCTACTTCTACCTACTTCTACCTACTTCACCTACTTATCAATAGCCTTAATCGAAATCGGCGTTAATACGCTAATACCCTTGTCCTTGCAGTCTTAATGTAGAATTGTTCTCGATACGGTCATCATTCTATACTATCCTGATTCTGCATGACTCCTTTCCTATATGATTTTCGTGCTGTCATTTTGTTATGTACGATCTTTTGCCATGCCCTTTATATTCGTACGATGTGTTCATAACACGACGTTGTACTATTAGGAATTTGCGGTTTTTAACCCTCCCACATTTTGCTTTGCAGTGTTTTTTATGGTATTTTGCTTACGACCTTTTGCGACACGATATTTTGTCATGGATGGTGTGAGGCCTATGGCTGTCAGGATGAAGTTGCCATACGATCTTTGCCGCAAATGTTTTTCCCGGCTACGGACTATCCCAACGAATGAACGCGCCGTAGAGGTTCTTTAGAATTGCTGGCCATTCAGTTTAACTCAAACCTAGTCAGAGTCTTCTTAAATTCTAACCACATGGCTTGAAAGCCACTCACCCGGCTGAGGCCAACGTTATCCAATGGTACTAACGTTGTCGCTTCAGACTTTGAACGAGAAAGCCATCAAGGAGACGGAGTGATGAACTCACGCTGCCAGAAACTACAGCAAGACTACGAAGCACAGCTGAATCACTTGATCGATCAACTTGCGCAAGAAAACCAGCACAAAGTTTCAGAACTGAAGGTAAAGTTAGGCGCTTTTCTGCGTTAGGGCTAAGGGGGCTTCATACATCCCCCTGCTGTATTAAAGGAGCGTCTACAGTTGTATGGGTTTAAACTGAGCTAGCCATTTTGAGATCGTACCGGTGCAGTTTCACAACCCTGCCCTCCTTAAGACCTAAACCCTCTGTTGTTTAGCTACACGCACGATGAGATGTGCAGACTATTTTGTGCAGGCGCTTTTCAAGGCCATTCGGGATTGCATGACGTCATAGTAATGTCATTCAACTCTGTCGCCCCATAGGCCCTGACCGCGTTCAAGGCCAAGATAGTAGTATCGTGGAGACGTTCTGATCTGATCTGACGTCCCCGAGCGTGATTTACAACTATTATGACCGTCAGTTATCCTCTCCATTAATATTTAGCAATTTCAACAAGTTTCAATCACGGAATCCGTGTTTGTGCTACATAATAGGAGTTGAACACTATTGCTCGATATTGGCTATCACTTGATTTGTATTGGACAACTTCAAAAAGGTGTGAGTACCTAGCAGGTAAATACAGTAAGCTTTTTAAAAAAATTAATTCAAGAGATATGCATGACCACCATAACAATGATCAAAACACGAGCAAAACGATATCGGCTCAACGAACACTTTCAGTACCAGGGGTGCCACATCTGTAGGTGAAATTGAAGAACTGCAGTTTGAAAGCCAGGGGTGCAAATTTCGCACGGCTAACACGTCGGGAGCACTTCAGTGTCACACGAACATCACCTGACGCATCCTGCAATCAAACATGACGTGGTGAGGCGCTATTTACTAAAAATAGGTAGGTATGTCGTCTAGATCCTTCTTTTCCACTGTAATACGCGTTACCAATTATAAAATTTCATCATATATAGAACATGTGATTATTTATCATCATATTTGAAATACTAAGCTTGCTGCAACATCTTCAAACTGGCAGTTCCCTTTGACACAAACCACATTAAATCCAAGCGAAAAGCACCCTTTGTTCAAATGTGCTTGCATAAGGGTCATTAAACAAGGTCATGGCGAATTCCACAATTACATTATATATATATATATTAATTGATTAATATAAAAAAATATATATATATATATATATATACAACAGATAAAACATGATAACCATAAGTGCAGGCTGTCGGCTGAGCCGGCCAATCTGCCGCAGGCTCGCGACGAGGAGATGGCCGCGCTTCGCCAGGACGTGTCGCGCCTGATGAAGCTGCGCGACAGCCTGCAGCGCAAGCTGCGTACCACCGAGGAGCAGAAGGCGGGCGTGCAGGCTGACCAGGAGGCCGTCACGGTCGCGCTGCACCGGCTGGAGCGCGACCTGGAGACCAACGCCCGCCAGATGGAGGCCGACAAGAAGGCCATGGATGACCTGCGGTACGAGCGTGAACTGCTCAAGAAGGGTCTGCTCAAAGCGCAAGGTACGTGTTGTGTGGTGTGTGGTGTGTGTGTGTGTGTGGGTGTGTGTGTGTGTGTGTGTGTGTGTGTGTGTGTGTGTGTGTGGTGTGTGTGTGGGCGTGTGGTGTGTGTGTGTGTGTGTGTGTGTGTGTGTGTGTGTGTGTGCGTGTGTGTGTGTGTGTGTGTGTGT